GCTTGGCCTGCTGTGTTCATCCAGCTCTACACCTTGTATCTCAGATTCTCCAGCATCTGCAGTTCCTACTATCGCTAATGTTCAGGTCTGCAGCTTTTCATTTTATTTCAACTCTGGATCACTCATCTCTTATGATCTCTTCTGTTTCAAGTGTACAACACGGCAGAGCATTCAACATGAAGACTTTACAGAAACTAAGGTTAAGATGTCTGCCTAAAGGTGTGTGCCCCATGGTAGAGATCACATGACAATGGCGGACAAGACAGTCAACCGTACATGATAGCAATTCAATTTCTACAGAGCCCATACCCTTGCAATGTGCAGTGCCTTCAGACATTTCTTGACATAATGTAGACTGAATTGAATTAGCTGAACACTGGCATCTGTGATACTGGGGACCTCTAGAGGAGGCCAAGATAGATTATCCACTTGGTACTTCTGGCTTAGAAATGCTTCAGCCTGAACTTTTGCACTGATGTATTGGCCTCCCTGATCATCAAGCATGAGATATTTATCGAGTCTTCTTCTTCAGTGAGTTGTTTGATTATCCACCACCATTCACGAATGGATATGGCAGGACTGCAAAATTTAGATCAGATCCATTGGTTGTGGGATTGCTTAGCTCTATCATTTGCTACTTATGCTTTTGGCACACAAGTAATCATGCATTGTAGCTTCACCAGGATGGCACCTCACTTTTAAGTATGCCCCTGGTTCTGCTTCGATCATGCCCTGCTCAGATTTCATTTAATTAAGGTTCACCCTGTGGTTTGATGGCAATGGTAGACTGGGGATATGCTGGACAATGAGGCTGCAGACTGTGTTTGAGTGCAATTCTGCTGCTGCTGATGACCTCTGTGCCTCTTGGATGCCCATTCTTGAGTTATTAAATCTGTTCAGCATCTATCCCATTTAGAACAGTAATAGTGCCCCAGAACACAGTGAAGTGCATCGTCAGTGTGAAGGTGGGACGATGTTTCCACAAGAACTGTGCAGTGGATATTTTAATCAGTTTTCGAATGGACAGATGAATCTGCAATAGGCAGATTGATGAGGATGAGGTCAGCATTTTTTTAATATTTCATTAGTGCCTTCACCACCTGCTGCAGGCTCAGTCTAGCAGCAAGGTCCCTTAAGTTTTGACCAGCTCCGTTAATAGCGATACTGCCAGTTAGTGAGGGTGGTGCACATTGAATGCCCTTACCACGAGATCATCACTGCTACCCTCAGTGCCTCCTGAAATGACTTACAACATGGATTAATCAGCTGGAGATATCCTTGCCCATGTTTGACTTGATGCCATGCAACTTCATAGGTCCAGAGTCAGTGCTGAAGACTCCCAGAGCAGTACCCTCCTGACTGTATACCACGGTGCTACCACATCTGCTGGGTCTGTCCTCTGGTGGGATAGAACATATCCAGAGATGGTGGCCTCTGGGATACTGTGTGTAAGGTATGATTCTTTGAATATGACTATGCCAGGCTGTTACTTCACTTGTCTGTGAGACAGCTCTCCCAATGTTGGACCGCTTTGCAGAACACCAACCCTCGGGTCACAATAAACAACTGCACCTCCCAGTCGCTAACCATTTCAACTCCCCCTCCCATTCCTCAGACGACATGTCCATCCTGGGCCTCCTGAAGTGCCACAACAATGCCACCCGAAGGTTGCAGGAACAGCACCTCATATTCTGCTTGGGAACCCTGCAGCCCAATGGTATCAATGTGGACTTCACAAGTTTCAAAATCTCCCCTCCCCCTACCGCATCCCAAAACCAGCCCAGCTTGTCCCCACCTCCCTAACCTGTCCTTACTCCCACCTATCCCCCCTCCCACCTCAAGCCCCACCCCCATCTCCTACCTACTAACCTCATCCCGCCCCCTTGACCTGTCTGTCCTCCCTGGACTGACCTATCTCCTCCCTAACTCCCCACTTGCACTCACCTTTACTGGCTCCATCCCCGCCTCTTTGACCAGACTGCCTCCTCTCCACCTATCTTCTCCTCTATCCATCTCCTATCCTCCTCCCCCTCTCTCCCTATTTATTTCAGAACCCTCTTCCCCTCCCCCTTTTCTGAAGAAGGGTCTAGGCCCGAAACGTCAGCCTTCCTGCTCCTCTGATGCTGCTTGGCCTGCTGTGTTCATCCAGCTCTACACCTTGTTATCTCACTAGTCTCCAAATGTTGGTAAGGAGGACTTAGCAGGATCAATATGACTAAGTCTGCCATTTTTTTCTATGCCTAGTTCGATACTGGGTGGTCCATCCAATTTCACTCCTTTTTTGAGACATGTTAGCGGTTTAGTACAACTGAATGGCTTACTAGGCCATTTCAGATGGCAGTTAAGAGTCCACCACATGTGGGGTGAGTGGGGGAATATGCTGGTGGCATTGCCACTGGACGAGTAAACTGGAGATTAAGGTAATGCTCTGGGGACCTAGGTTCAAATTTAGGCAGTGGAACTTAAATTCAATAAAATTTGGAATTAAAAATTTAATGATGGCCAGGAAACAATCATCATAAATATCCATTTGCTTCACTGATGTTCTTCAAGGAAGCCAAACTGCTATGCATTGCTGGTCTGGTCTACATGTGATATTACATTCACGGTAAAGTGATTCAAAAATATTTAACTGATTGTAAAACATTTTGGAACATTCTGAGATTGTGAAAATTACAGGAAAGGTGGGCTCTGATTTGGGAAGCAAAAGCATATTGCAGAGGTTAGAGATAGTAAGTGCAGGGCAGAAATAGGTGGACGTCTGTAAGGACCAGAATGATTAAGCATAAGAGTTTTGAGTAGATGGCAGCTATCATGGAGGCTACAAAAGGGAGTTACTTGATCAGCAGTTCAATGCCATTGGAGTTGAGAAAGCAGAAGATTATCATGGACAAGATAATTTAGAGACAGTATGGGAGAAAATAGGAAAGAAAGGCAAGTGCAGGAAGTGGCCTACAGGCAGTTTGCCTTGGTCAATAGCGGGAAATGGTTAAAAACTGCTGGGACAGCTGATAGGATGGTCTCAATCTTGATTAAAGAAGTTGTGCTTTCTTCACAAAAATTATTAGAGTTTACGTGAAGGATGCCGAGAGTTCAGGATGTGGAGGTGCCGCTTTCGGACTGGGGTGGAAAAGTCAGAAGTCACACCTCATCAAGTTATAGTCCAACAGGTTTATTTGAAATCACATGCTTTCGGAGTGCTGCTCCTTCATCAGGTGAAGGGCGAAGAGATGTTACATGAAGTGGAGAGACTACAAGAGTGATTGGAAAATTGGGTTGAAAAGTTCGTAACAGCAGGAGAGAGAGCGAACTTAGAAGGGGGTTGAAATTATTGAGATTGCTCAAATCCAGTGAAGACATAATCTGTTGCAAAGTGTGGGAGAGAAGTAACTGGCAACAGCAAAAACAATTTTTCTGCTTCAGCCTCAATCCCTACAAACTGGCTGGGTGTCTTTTCTGTAGAAAACCGAAGTCTGAGAGGTGACCCAGTTGTGGTCTTTAAAATTTGTAAAGGAATTTGAAAGGGTGTACATAACGAAGATGCATTCCCTTGCGAGGGTGACCAAAACTATGGGGGCATCAATGTAACGTAGTCGCTAATAAATCTGATAATGAGGTCAAGAGAAACGTCTTTACCTGGATAGTGGTTAGAATGTGGAACTCGCATCCATATGGGGTAACTGTGCTGAGTAGAATAGATACACTTAAGAGGAGATTAGATAAAACATGAGAGTGAAAAGCATTGAGGGTGAAAGGAATAGAGGAAGAAAGACATAATGTTAGATGAATTGGGGAGGATGGGGCTCATGTGGAAAATAATTGTTTCTGTACTGCAGATTCTGTCCAGGGCTTCTTCCTAAGGGCAATGTAATGGATACAATAAATAATATATTATTTTGCAATATATTGTGATGCACATGATTCGCATTGTGTAGTACCTGTACAGTTCTTCAGGCATTGACTATGGGGACCGGTAGAGTAATTTAGTTAGTTTAGATCTATTGTCATTGTTCATTGGTAGTACTGTGGTTGCTAAGGGAATGTTTAGTATTTGGTGTTCAATTCTCTGTAGCCTCTGGATAAAACAAAACAGCTGTACTCAGTTTAATAGTTCAGTGTTTTTTGGGATGTGACTATAAAAGTCATGCTGTGAAAATTATTCATGATGGACGATTAGGTCAGAGAATCTCTGGAAACAGAATGATAATTTAGTCCATTCCAGCTAACATGCCATTTTTTTCCTCTCTTGTTTCTTTAACATATAATAGGGTCTTTAAAGAAGGACTCCTGATGTATTTATTTAGGAATGTGACATGCTCCTCCATTTTTTTTTGGTAAATAACTCAACGGTTAAAGCATAAAGCTGGTTCCCTCCATTCTGTTTAACTGGTGTTGAAAGGGAAAGAGTTTGAATTGGAGTCTGGCCAGGAACACAGCTTTCTGTACAACTGGCCAATCAGCTGCTTTGTATGCAGTTTT